CTATAGAAACCTGCAAGTCTTCCTCCTACGGTGCCCCCTGCAGGGATTGGGAGAACATGGAACAATTAGGCTTAATGTCAGTTGTTCCAAATGTATTATTTTTAATGAAGGAAACCTTTGTTGGGACATAGGACAGTGTTCTTTGTTTGCCATGTGATGTTACATGTATGTGTCACTGCTGCAAAACTATTTTATTATTGTCTTATAAATCCACGTATGTTTTTTACAAAAGATTCATCAATTATTTTCTGAGAAATCAACCAAAATGTTTAAAAAAAACACCCTATCTCACATTGTTGGGGAAAATAAAAAGAAATCCTGGATACCCCCTGTGAACTGGATTCGAAAATTAATGGGTTTCTTCCCTGACCTCACGTCGCATTGTTCCAAGTTTTATGGTAATCTGTCCAGTATTTGTCACAGACAGACAAACAAACCCACTGAGATGAAAACATAACTACACCCACACAGATGCTTTTGATCACATCTTGAACAGTCTCAGTCTTATTTGAACATCTGGAGCTTGTCACTCACTTTTCCAACAGCAAGTAACTCACAGTAAATCTTCCCTTTTAAAAAATCTGTTTCAATGCAGCACCTAAGATATATAATAAAACATTACAGCTCGCAGGCTGTTCACTTCTAAAGCCACCAGCTGCATCCAAGACTGTATCCGTTGTGTCCCAGGGAACCATGTGTGAAAATTAGCATTTGATTATGTTCCTTTGCGCTCCTTCTTCTTTCATTAGCGACACAACTTTATGCTTCCCGAGAATGTAAATTAGAAGTCTGACTAACAAACTGTTATCAATCTAAATGGTCTCTGTGGGTGTCTGTGTATATTATGAGGAGGTGAGGCTGCTCTTCACTCATGCAAATTACATTACACTTAGTCTGGTCCAAAAATAATAGGAAGTAAAGGAACACGTATCACTGTGTGACGGGGGGTAGCACTGGAGAAGAAATGGTTAGACGTTGACACATTGATAGAGCTGTATGAGAGAGAGTTTGGTTTTGAATGTCTCCATCCACAGTGAGACCCTCACACCCCCCCTCAACCCCTTATCTGTGTCCATGCAGCGCTGTCAGTCAATTCATTTCTCTTTCTTGTGCCCTGGGTTGACATCAGATAAGGAGAACCCCACATTAAAGTGGCGCGCCTGCTCTCCCTTTTCCAAAAGTTAAAATGAGAAACAGGCTCGGAATACAAATGGCACAGATCAAATGAATGGTGGGGATTTCGAACGCCTTATCTCACACAGTCAGTCGGTTTGGAGTTGGCGCCTGTTACAAAGGCCCAGAGAAGACCGTGGCCTCGGAGATCCTCGCAGCTATCCCTCAGGCTGCTGTGGAAACAGGTACATCTAACACTCATATAAAATTAACTTGTGCCTCCAATATGTTATTATTTTTTGAAAGCTCCCATAAAGAATTGATTTACTTTCTACCCTGCTGATTTTTGCCCTTCCTCCGCTGTAGAAGTTGATCCACGAGGCTCCAGTTTAAGCAGCATTTTTGAGAAGGGAGTTTGATATTCGCGTCAGACTGCGAGCTGCACTAATCCCTGTGTTATGCTGCTGTTGCAGTGGAAGGATTTCTGACACTGTATTAAAACTGGTGTTTGAAGATCTATTTAAACTGCTTCAGAGAGTCCACATTTCAAACCTGGAGGTAAGAGCACACTTTGAGAGCTTGAGCCACAAAAAAACAGACAGAAATCTCCTCAGCTGTGATGTGTTTAATCAGCCTCCATCACACAATCATGGAAATTTTAAAAGGAGCCTGTTAATTTCCATAAACTTTCAGTCTTACGGTCTCTGCTGGAGAGGGCTGCTCCTGCTTGTCAATCAGGAACATGATTAAGCTCTGAAATATTCTCTGTCGATGGAGGAAATGTGAAAAGAGAAAATGATCTGCTTTCATTTGCCTCTGTTTAATCCCCAATTCAGATTCTGAGTCTGCAGAACACCAATAATAGAATCCACTACTTCTCTTCACAAAGGGAACGAGTGGATTTACATGCAACATACAGGTTTAATGGAGATATGTGTCAGACCAACATATAGACATACCAAAATAATAGCATAACGTAATAAATACACAGCATAAAAAATCTAATTCCCTTGTGTATCTTGTTAGAATCTGTTCTCTTGAGGTGTTGAGGATCCTGTTGCTAGATTTCTGCAATATTCTGGGAACATCATTCTCACAGTGGCTTCAACGTCCTGTTGTGTTAGTTGATTAAGGACTTAAAAAAGAAAAACTGGAATAAAGATACTGATAAAGAGAGTTTGCACGATTCTAAACAGTAAAAATGAAGCTCCACATAACACTGTCCTCCCACATTCGTTTTCACACTGTGCTGTGGGACAAAAATATCACCAAGGGATTCCTTGTTTTTGTAATAAAGGGATATTACACTACTTATGGAGAAAAACATGAATTTTCCCAGTTATCAAGGTTTTAATTTTTTATTTGATGCGATGAAACTAGGGTCAAACGTCACGACTGACAGCTGAGACTGACTCGGGATGGTACCTCGATACCCCAGCTCCATCCACTGATTGCCATGGTGCAGAATTTGGATATAATGACCTCATTGAGGCAAGATGGCGGCTTTCGTATCAGGTATATTTATATCTATATAGTCTATCGGTGATCACAGAAAAATGCCACGAATAGTAAAAGATATCGTCTGTGAGAATGCATAATCTAAATCTTCATAAAACCTCCCTGTCCCATTTACAGCCCAAAGGTTGTTGTCTCTGAGGTCATTTCCAGTAGTGAAGGGGATTTTGAAAATGGTAATAGGCCGAAAGCAGAAGGGGAGAAGGATGCTGCACGAGACATGCGGCCAATGTCAGGCTCAGACCTGCAGTCTACACCCAGTGAGTCAGACTCACTGTGAAAATGTGAAAGTTTTTTCAGAGGGAAGATGTTGCCTTCTTGCATCATGCATGCGCTGCACTCTGAGCTCTGTTTGCCTGTGATGATATCATCCTCCTTTAATCTTCCTTGTGGTGTGCTGTATAAGACTTGGCATCAGCAAACACTGAAGAGTGGGGAAAGCCTCATTTATTGAAGACTTTGCTTCTTGCAGCTCCGTGTAAAAGACATTACAGCATTTGAAATGAGACTTTAAAAAAGCCATTTGAACATTTTTTCTCCCTCCGGTCAAAACTACTGCAGCAAACTCTGGTCACCACCATGAACAGATTCTACATACAAAATCCAAACCAAGGATAAATAATTGTTCAGGCTACTCGATGAAATCCCACTTCAAATCAGAATCACCCTTATTAGCCAAGTACGTTTGACTCCAGGTTCCAGCGTCTCTGTGTGTTCTTACAGTGCTAAGAACAAACACACAAACATACAGTTAAAACTAGGACAACAAACCTAAACTAAAATAGGCAAAAATAAGCTAATGCTGTGTGGAAAGAGCAAACAGAACATTGTGAGAGAAACTCCAAAATGTGGAAAACATCTCACCAAATTAAGGCTAATTCATTCAAGGAATGGACAGGAGGGGATGGGATTAAATACACAGCAAACCAGGAGTTAAAATGATATTTCATCAAGGCTTGGATCCATCTGGACTGTTTATCCAATGCTTTTGCAACAATAGAAACTTTGTAAGTTTGTCAGTACTTATTCTCACAATTGATCAACTCTGCTTTCAATCGTTTCAAATTTAAAAAACATTACAAAAGGAGCAATGCAACTTGACAGCAGGGTCTATTAAACCGTTTCTACTGTGTATCTCCTTCCACTGCAGGTGGATGTATCATGATGTTTGAAGCAATATGATTCGCTCTACCCTTCCTCAGAGCAAAGAAATAAAGATTTACACACTGAGTCTTTTCCTCTGGAGATATAATGAGCCAGGCTTGGCCTGAACAAGGGGAATAATACATTATACAGTGAGTAATGCTGGGCAAGATATGTGAAGCCTCCTGTGGTGCAAGTGCATTTTCTTTATAAAGTAATTAAATATTGCCTTTCGACTGTTCATTCATTTTCAGATGTCATGAAATGAATGTATCACTTAACATTAATCTCTGTACGTCAATGGGTGATTTATAAGAGTGATTTATGTTACAGTCTGTTGGTATCTTTAACTACATGTTCCACCAATAAACACAGACTAGAAAGTCTTCTGTCAGATATTGACT